GCATCCTGCACCCATTTCAAAAGGAAAAAAGAACTAAAAGAACTAAGAAGGACCCCCTTCCCTTTCCATCCCCTCACGTGCCGTCATCCCATCCGTGTGGCGCTATCTTCCCCAATTATTCCCTCTTGCGCTCGCCATTCTCTCCGTCGGCGTTTGTCTCGGATCTCCTCCTCTCTCCAGTCTGCAACGCGACGCTTCCCGGGATCGACCTGCAGGGGAAAACAACTCCATTGTTTGATTGAACCCATAGGGGTGGGTGGCCGACTTCATTCCTTCACATCGACTGCCTCTGGATTTTTTTGGCCGATTCCTCGGGCTCCCGTCCAGCTTCACCTTCACCTTCCCGGAGTCGCCGCTCGTTTCTTCCCTCCCTCTCCTGAACACCTGGATATCTTACAGTTTCCCTCACAACTCTCAACGCCTCCCCCTCCTCCGGACGTGCTCACCGATCCCGCCGATTCCGTGACCTCTCCTACCAAAGACACCTATACCCTTATCGGTCAATCTCCCCCCCCCCTTAGGGCTATCTCTTCCTTTTCTCCGATAAACCCTCAAATTGCGACTTAAGCGACCAGGGTGACGCGACCGAAGACCTCTAGATCGCCCACTGCGTTACATGATGGTGGAGTGCGTGGATTGCTCGGCCGTCTACATAGACGACCGGGTTCAGTCGGAAAGATGGGTGCGCAGAACTTCTATAGACGCTGCAACGGTTTCCTCAGTGGGCTCACTCACGCGACCCGAGGAACCCGAGGCTCTTCAAGCCGATCTGGAGCAACTGCTAGAAGTTTGTAAAAAGAGTAAGTATTGACCGACCGGGATAGAAGCTTGCTTTTGCAGCGCTAACTTTGAATCATCTAGTCTATTTATGCAGCAGCGGAGCCTCCTTCGCCAGTAAGCTCTCCGAGCTGAGCGACCGTTCGGGGAGCGAATGCGCCCCAATATTTGCCTTTTTTGGCATCGATTTTAGCAACGACGAAACGAATCTGGCTCGGCGAAAAGCCAGTCGGGCATCTTGGGGCGACAGTGCACCGCCATCTCCCGGAACTATTCAACGCACATTTACCTTTTCTTCGCAATCTGATGAAGCACCTGGTCTGTCACTTCTGACGGGCGTATCGAACGATATCCAAGTCCAGGACGGTCCGAACCTGGTCGTTCCGATTGCCATTATTCGCACAACCGGCTCCAGCACGATTGGCCCCACGAGCGAGCCGTCAAATAGTGTCACCTTGGAACACAAGCAGATCGCCCGATGCCTTGATGCTGGCGCTTTCGATGTCTTAACAACCCCGCTGGATCGCGGTCGTCTTCAGGGACTTTTAGTACACGCATACCGTGCTCACCGATCTGCGCAGAAAGAAATGTCACGATTTCTCGCCCGCAAGAAGTTACGTAAACTTTCGTGGGTAGGCGTGAATGACCAACAGCCCTATGCGTACCTGAGAGAAGCAATGGTGTCGAAACTCATGAAAGGCATCTGCAATCCAGAGGAGGAAATTGTGGACGAATTTCAAGAATACGAATTGAATATCAACCCGGATCGTTATTCTTTTATAAGGGAGCAGGTGGGAAGCTGGAATTTTTCGGCTCATGAGTTTTCAGAAGACGAGCTGGTTGCAGCTGCCTGCCAAATGCTCCAGCATGCTTTCACTATGCCCGGGCTGGAACACTGGCAGCTCACATCGGGTGAACTGCAAGCCTTCCTACTTGCCTGCCGCGCCGCTTATAATTCCTTCGTGCTGTATCACAACTTTCGTCACGCGATTGACGTGTTGCAATCTGTATTTTGCTTCCTCCTTCATATCGGCGCCCTACCTCCCTACGAGCCTGTTGGTCAAGCTCCGGTCTCCAAATCTCCTATCGCCTCTCTTCTCTCGCCATTCGATGCATTGACTCTACTGATTTCCGCAATTGGTCACGATGTTGGTCATCCTGGTGTCAACAACTTTTTCCTTGTCAAGCTCAATGCTCCCCTGGCGCAATTGTACAACGACAACTCTGTTCTCGAAGCTTTTCACTGTGCCGCCTTCTCCCAGATCCTCCGCCGTCACTGGCCTGTTGCATTCAAAGACAAACAGTTGCGGAAACTACTCATCAGCTCCATCCTGGCGACTGACATGGGTGTTCACCAGAAGTTCATGGAGCGGATGGGATCTTTGCAAGAAAAGTTCCACGAGAATCAAAAATCGATCGATGGGTGGAAGCCGCAGGATATCGAATTATACAAGACCCTTCTTTGCGGCCTACTGATTAAGTGTGCCGATATCAGCAACGTGGCCAGGCCCTGGATGATTGCAGAGAAATGGACTCAGATCCTACAAGAGGAGTTCGCCAACCAAGGCGAGATGGAAAAGGAGGTCGGCATGGAAACTGCGCTCTTCGGTGGTCCTCCAGAGCTTGGGAATATCTATAAATTGGCCACGAGTCAGATTGGGTTTATGTCTATATTTGCTCTACCTCTCTTTGAGGGTATCTCCGATCTCTTGCCTCAACTACACTTTACGGCCGAGCACATTCGTCGCAACCAAGCACAATGGAAGCAACATGCGAATGATGAACTCCAAAAACAAGGTCTGCCGATTGAACACCGGGCAGAAATCACAATTTCGCCACGCTCACAAAGTCCTGCTCCGGTTGATTCTGATGATACCGAGAAGGCGCCCGATGGAGATAGGGAGGGCTTCTTGAATGGTCCATTATCGCCCAATTCTAACACTAGTATTGATTCCGAAAATGGGGCCTACAATGAAAACAACATCAAGCCAGTGGTGTCACCGGATACCCCCGGTCCTCAGATCGAGATTACAGGAACCCCATTACTGCCCGAAGTGCAGTCATCCCGGAAATCTTCCAGCGCTGTGCCGGAATTCTCGTACTTCTCTATCCCGGGGGCCCCTGAATCGGCTCGGGGTTCCGTCGCAACTCAGGTCCAAACCCCACTCGCCGATGCCAGCCGACCCCCTGGAGACCCTGCTGTGCTGGCCGCCGTGCTTTATGCAAACTCGGCTACTAACGGGGGTAACTTCCCGGCGACTACTGAAGAGCCCGTTCGGGAATCCGAAGATGCATCCGAAAGGCCGAGCAGCTCTCCCAATGGACCTTCGCAGGGGTCCCAGCGACACCATGCACACCACAGTTCTTCCGTCCGAACTTCGGCTCCATCAACCTCCAACCGCAATAGCTGCACCCGGACGCAAAGTGTCAGTACATACAGCAACAATATGACACCGATTTCACCTGCGACCAACGCTTCGAGCTTCTTGGCCGTTGATAGTGGCGATGAAAAGCGCATCACGGACGAGAGCGCACCGCCAAGCGAGATCGGAGCTCCGGATGACATTAGCACCCGACCAAGCACATCATATGCCTCAGTGGGTGGTGATCAAGAAAGTAGCTATAGTCGAGGCCCGGGCTCTATTATGGACGTCAGCCACTCAAGGTCGGAGGGTGACAACGGCCACGCCAAAGAGTATAACCCCGCCGCCAACGGTACTCGAAGCCCCACCCAGTCCACGACGACTGGGGAGAGCGTCAAGAACGAAAGCTTACAAGGCGATGATTCTCGCAATGGAGGCTTGAGACGCATTCCGAAACGGCGAAGCCGACTACGCCTTGCATTTTGGAAGCGCCGCAACCACCACCAACAGGAGGTTCACGGCGAGAGTTGATTTCCCCTTCCTTTCCTTCGTTCTAGCCGGCAACCCATCTCGCTTTTGCGGTTTCCGGCTGTGTATTATGCGATCATGGCCTCATGAATGGTGCACTTTGTAATGAGCGTTGAAAATTTTTCGATGGAGTTGCATTGGGTTTTTTTTTGCCGCGGAGTGGGATGGTCCACTCTGCCTTTTGGCTTTATATTATACCAGCTAGGCTTCCCCTCCTTTTTGATTTCTCCTTTGACCCGTTGGACGATTTCGATGAAACCGGTTGGATTGACCACAATTATGGGTCTTATCCAAACCCTGAAGAACCCCCTCCCCGCCGATGGCTTTTCAGTCGCTGTCTATCGACGAAAGATTGGCCAGGTTCAAGGGCTGTTTATACTATACAATCTCTTTCTTCCTCAATGGGCTGATCTCGCCTGTTCGAGACTCCCATGAGTATTATTGCATCGAATGCTTTCCGTCCGCTTTTGTGATGATCATGGTCCTGTCCGACGACATTGTTTTCCTGTGTGATTTTCTTGTTTCTCTTTCTCTACCTCGCCTTCCAGGCTGCATTTGGGTTGGCTATTTTGGATTTTGGAATGGAGAAGGCTGGTGGCGTTGATGAGGATTGTTTTCTACCTTTGCCTTCTGGTCTTATTTTCATGGAAGTGAAGTGCTTCAGCGATGCCGAGTCGCTTTCCTTCCCAATATACATATTATGTTTCTTGTCAGCTTCTATTAGCTAGGTATCAATAAGAACTTGTGCCACTAAGACGTACGATACCACCGAGCATCCTCTGCGACCTGCCAAGGTAGTAGCAACTTGATTTAGATACCTACTAGTTAGTAGTAGATAGGAAATATACTATGACAGGTGTAGCCGATGTCAAATGAGAGTATTTCTCATGTCCAACTTCCCAGAAGACCTCGAAGCGTGTACTCTATCTCGCCCCAGCACCATCATCTAGTAGTTCGTAGCTAACCCTAACCTGAGAAGTCCATGCCATCGTTGAGACTGCTAGTATATTTCGCGAGGCTAGGGCATTGCCCACCACTCTATTCAACCAAGTAGTCAATGCACATGGTCTCTTTCAAGTTGAGGAACTCGGACTCGGAAAATGCAGAACCAGACATGATAAAATATCTACAGGCCCCCAGCAGATGCCATCAGAGGTGTCAACAGCGTGTAAAGGATCCAGCAAGTCGTAACTGACTGTATGACGAAGAAACAAACAAAACATTGAGTCTAATGTAACAATCTCAGAAAAGCACACTCCAGCAACAGACAATATCTCCCAAACAAGAGAACGCATACTAGATCCACCATCCTACCTCGCAGGCTCTGGATCATTAAAACCCCTCCGAATAATACCCCCAAATCCGACAAAGATATCGCTTCTTGAGCTCTATCCCACCCAAGCTCATACGGAAACCTCTCGTTTTCTGCACAGCACCAAATGTCAGCCTCGCCAAGCAAAGCGAGAGAGAGAAGATATTCAACCCCGAGCCCGGCACTCGGTGATTCAAGTTGGCACGTACCGAACAGATACTCGACCCAGGCTTTCCTAGTAATGCTCGTTGTCTTGTTCCCAAGGACGAGGAGATATGCGGCTGATTCGCCGATGCTGTTGCCTTTGCCCGTGTCGGCTAGTTTGAAAGCTGGGACCTTTCGATTCGACGTGTTGACTCGGGCTCGGTGGGCTTTGGCTGCGGTTTCGGGGCCGATGAGGGCAGTTGGTCCATCGCCCCAGTAGGAGCGTGTTTCGTCGAAGATGGTCTGGTTGAAGCTGTGGTCGTCGCCGAAATAGAAGTCTTCCCGACTAGTAGATAGAAGAGGTGCTAGGCACACTGTTAGCTGGCCCAAGTCTGCCCACCTCCATAGGCAGATGGCAAGCTTGAAATGATGGTCTGACAATGGGTACCTACCTAGTAGGTAGTAGGTATTGATATATTTTGGCTAGACTTATCTCAAACTGCCAACGTGTTCGAGGATATTGTGGCAACTGAGATTCGCCAGTGAGAAGGTCGTGGCATTTGGATTTGTGGTCAGGGCATTCTTGAAGAGGGTTTGAGAAAAGACCTTTTCGAAGTTCAGGACTGTTGCGAATGCTTGAACGATGGTCTCTTCTCCGATGTATTTGCCGTTGTGGGGGAGGTAGCCATGGTTTGCCAGGGCATTTAGCATCGGGCAGGGAGCTTGGTCTTGTACTGGAATTAGAGCTGATTTGGGACAGGTATCTCCTATCACGTACCACCATTGGGACCGGCGAGCCTCCACTCGGTTGGAGGATGGTTCGAAGGAAAGGCAATGGAGCTGGCTGTAGCTAGAGTAGCCACGGCGAAAGCAAGTAAGAGTTTCATGTTGAGTGAACGCTATTTTAAAAGATATGAATACTATGAAGAGTCCAGATATGACGAAGATGTAAATCCAGATGTAATAATCTTCGACGAAAACGCTAAGCATAAGGAGGAAATTGAGGTAGAAGAGGGCTTGGTCTCGGTCTCGAAATCGGGTACTCGGCCACTACTCGATATAGAGATCCCCGTACGAATGTCCAGGTTCGAGGACATTTGAAAGCAACACCTGCCATTCGCTCTAAACTAAGCAAACTGTCTATACACATACTACCATGCCCAGGTAGGTACCGGGATATGAGAGACCACTGGGAGTCAAGCAAATTGTCATCAAAGAAAAGAAGTTTCAAAGAAAGTAGAGTTCTCAAGCCACCTCTCAACTGCAGCTTAGAGCGCAGCACGTACCTCAGATAAGCTCGGGCCAAGGACGTGGCTTCAATGGCTAAATTTTCTGAAAAGCATAATGTGCACAAATCTTTCAATTTTCTATCTATAGAAAGGGCGTGTGAGGATGGCCTGGTATGTACAGTATGATGCGCAAAAGGGTAGATGGAAAGGTTGGGGTAGATCAAATGCAGTCCTCGCATTCCTTCTTTTTTGTCGCAGCTTCGTCATCCTGCTTTGGTTCTTGCTGTTTCTTCTCCTCTGCTTGCTTCTTCAGGGCTCTATCTGTGTGGCCAAGATCACGGTTTGGGGCGATGACATTGCGAACAAGAGATTTGAGAGCTTTCACCTCTGCAAGATTTGTGAGCTTCTTTTCAGACGCACAGATTGATGTGCATTGTATTAGATTGGACATACCAGGGAATCCTCCATCCCGCTTGCGATCCCAGAGAATGTTCTCTTCGGTTGATGCCTCTCCCAGGGCTGTTTTTTGCCCGGCGCTCCAGATGGTTACGGTGAAGACTCCGCCTGTCATGGGAACGAGAGCGACTTCACCTAGGTCCGTACCGAAAGTTGAAAGGAGCTCTTGCGCGAACTATCAGTTTTGAGATTAGTCATTTGTGAATGGTTGAAGATATATTTATACACGGTGCGTACTACTAGTAACAACTACTAGAAGTAACACACATGATGATATATCGGTAGATCTTCCCGGTCTCAACTCGAAGCTTCGAGACGATTGCCAAAAATTTGACTTTCAGAAGAAATGAGCAGTTGACAAAATACAAAATAGACCTACATATGCAGCCCGTAACATCCACCTGCACTGCGTGCAGAACTTGATTGAAATGCGTGGCAGATGCACGCGCTCCAGAGCCGTCGTGTTGGCCCCAGAACCAGGACCCGGCGTTTCGGATTGTGGCACCGAGCCGGGCGCAAGGCTAGCTTCAATTGGTGGAGTTGATTCGGTCATGACGACTCAATGTCGAGATGGAGGGGAGGGGAAATAGGTATACTGCGATTGCGATGCCAGCAACTCGTGGTGCCTGGAGAGTGTTCTTTTTGCAGGGACCCGAGAATGCGCAGTTCAAAAAGGTAGGACGGCACCTCGTGGCTGCAGAGTGATTTGGAATTATGGGACACGGTCAGGTTCGATAGGGGAGTTGGGGGGGAAATTTGATGTCGGTGGTGGGATGGGATGGTGTGATGTCAGCGGTCTGATTCGGCCGGTTCATCCAGCTCGCTGCAGGTTCCCGCGAGTGGGACTGAACACCAGTTCCGCAAGGGAGAACCGGAGATGGCGAGTTGTTTACGAGTAATTATTGCTCCGTACATAGAGGAATTACATCAGGAAGGGTAAATGGAGGAGGTTATTAGAATCGGTAATTCTTATTTGGTCATGGATGCAAATCGAATCTATGATACACGAATGGCAGCCCGATCTCCCTAGCAGTGAGCATGGGAGGCTTTTGGAGAACCCAGGAGAACAAAGGAAATGGCTTCAAAACACAGTGACGACAAAAGGGGGAATGGTGCTTAGAGAAGTGGAATAAGAGAAGAAGAGGAAGAAGGGTGAGAAATAGAAGAGAAAAAGGAAGAAGTGTTGTAAAAGAGACAGGGCCACGGGGGAACAGGCGCATCGTCAAGTGCTTTAAAAAAGCCTGCCACCCCCGAGCCATCCGAGACCAAGGGGGAATTAGAAACCCGCATGATTCTGAGGCATTGAAGAAGTTCGTGCGGTTCCACGTCTCGCTGTCCGCGCCCGGCAGGTTGAGCGATCGTGGTTCTTGTTCGGGTCGATTGGGGGACGGAGAAAGACGATCAATCAGGATCCGGAATTAAGGTTGGAAGAGAACGAGGCGGAAAGATAAATGAAGAAGGAAATGTCGTGTCGTGGCGATCGAGCTTCTCCCGTCATAAGGCCATTACATGACGGTACAGCAACCTCCCTGTTGCTGAGGAGCGTAGGGGTCCTCTCGCTTGTCGACCTGGATATCTCGAGTTAGCTCAGTGCCTTGGTGCAAGTGCGCGCGTGCGCCCCCCCCCCATTTTCGAACGGTCGCATACCTGTCCCCATACAGATGGAACCATGAAGTCGCGAGTGTTATTGCAGTAGTTGATCAGCCTGGTTCAGGGAATCTTAGTTAGCGTTATGTTTGGGTTAGGGTTGTGGGGAGTCAATATCATCATAGGGGATGGGATGGTAACGGGGGTAGGGGAAGATGCGGATAGACGCACGAGAGAGCCGCTTCGGAAACCTTGACACGCGGACGGTCGAGATCCTCCTTCAGGCGGGCATTGAGCTCAGTCAAGCGACGGTATTTGAGGTCAGCCACACTCTGCTTCTTGTTCTTGACATCACCACCCGATCGGAGTTCGTAAGCAGGCATCGTGACGGGGAGGGGGTCGTTGGGTCGGGGGGTTATTAGGTCGCGCGGTCGAGAAAGGGGGTGGTCGAAAGTGGAAATATTGTTATTAGATTGGAGGAGAGTGAGATCAAGGTCGTCAATCGAGCCAACAATCGACGCGCAGTTGGATGGGACCGAACAAAGAAAAGGAGAGAATGAGGGTCAAAGGAGTGAGGGAGGAGCGCAGGACGTTGGAGGGATTTTCCGAGAGGATGGTGGTTGGTGGTACGGGGGGTCCGTGTGGGCGCGGTGGATTACATACACATACGGGCATTCAGGAGGGGGGATATGGAGTACCTAGGTACGGAGTATGGGATACGATACTTCCCGGCTTCGATAGTGCGACAATAGTGGCTCGGTATGTACCATGTACTGGGACTGGCGAGTTTCACTTGTGAGATGAAGAAATATTTATTATATTCATACGTAAGTGGAGGAAATGAATAGAAAAAATAGAAGCAACTCCATAATAGATCAGAGAGTATAGCATACAACTCCTACACACACTACGCATCTAGTACTTACTAAGGGTAACTTATACTTTGTGATCTATTATAGAATTAATTCTAAAATTTTTTTTCAATTTTTTTTCTTCCACTATAGTCATATACATATGTACTGCCTGCATGTTGATCTATTACAGCTGATACATCAGTATCTACAGAGTACAAAGTACTTGACTGATGTATCAACTGTTAGGTTGAGTGCGGACCACCTTGTCTGCTGGAAATTATGGTAATCTATGTAATCCCCATACCTCTGTATCACCCCGTGTTGATCATCCGCCTGGCTCTTCAGGCACCAACACACGTGACTGCCCCATCGCTTAGCCCGAAGTGGGAACTCGGGCAATTTTCGCTGGCTCACGCACAACAGGCTCATCTTCCCCTCCAGGCCTAGGGACTTCGCGTGGCAGCCATATCAACTTCGGTCTACGACCACTGCCAGTGCACGAAACGCCTGCACTTTCTCCCTGCGATTCCGCCTTTCAAACCCGAAAAAAAAAATCTTTCAACTCCCGAAGGGGTGGATTATCCATCATGCCGCCTCCACCGCATATCAAGCCTGAGAATGTCCTCAAGGTTCGTCACGACTGTCTCCGTCGCATCTCGACTCGCCTGATCGATCATCGGTCCTCAATACTAACATCATATCTCATAACAGAGGGCCCAGGAACTCATCGCCGTCGGTCAGGCCCCCGCCGCCCTGACCGTCCTTCACGAACATGTTACCTCTAAGCGGACCCGCAGCAGCCCGATTGCTTCCCTCGAGCCGGTTATGCTCCTCTTCGTTGAGCTGTGTGTCGACCTGCGCAAGGGCAAGGCTGCTAAGGATGGCCTGTATCAATACAAGAACATCGCCCAGAACACCAACGTCGGCACCATCGAAGTCGTCCTGAAGAAGTTTATCGAACTCGCCGAACAGAAGGTCACCGAGGCCCAGGCCAAGGCCGATGAGATTCAGTCCTCCCTCGAATCCGCCGCCCCCTCCTCCAACGTCGAGGATCTGGAGGCCATCGAGACCCCCGAGACCATCCTCCTCGCTACCGTCTCCGGTGAGCAATCTCGCGACCGCACCGACCGCGCCGTTGTTACCCCTTGGCTCAAGTTCCTGTGGGAGACCTACCGTACCGTCCTCGAGATCCTGAAGAACAATGCCCGCCTCGAGATTATGTACCAGTCGACCGCTCTGCAGGCCTTCCAGTTCTGCCTCAAGTACACCCGCAAGACCGAGTTCCGCCGTCTTTGCGAGCTGCTCCGTAACCACGTTCAGAATGCCGCCAAGTACTCCGCCCAGATGCACGCTATCAACCTCAGCGATGCCGATACCCTGCAGCGCCACTTGGACACCCGTTTCCAGCAGTTGAATGTCGCCGTCGAGCTGGAGCTGTGGCAGGAGGCCTTCCGCAGCATTGAGGACATCCACACCCTGCTGAACCTGAGCAAGCGCCCTGCCAAGAACGTCATGATGGCCAACTACTACGAGAAGCTCGCCCGTATCTTCCTTGTCAGCGAGAACTACCTTTTCCACGCTGCCGCCTGGAACCGCTACTACAACCTCCTCCGTCTCTCCACCGTGGCTCTGGCTACTGGTCAGAGCACCAAGAAGGAGAACCCCTCCGTCAACGAGACCGATATGACCAAGGCCGCTTCCTTCGTCCTCCTCTCCGCACTTTCCATCCCCGTCATCAGCACCACTCGCTCGCGTGGCGCTCTTGTTGACGTTGATGAGGCTCGCAAGAACAAGAACACTCGTCTCACCAACCTGCTGGGTATGGCTCAGCCCCCCTCCCGCTCCGTGCTCTTCCGTGATGCCCTGAACAAGGGTCTCCTAAAGCGTGTCCGCCCCGAGATCCGGGATCTGTACAACATCCTTGAGGTCGACTTCCACCCTCTGTCCATCTGCAAGAAGATCACCCCCATCCTGAAGCAGATTGGTGCCGACCCCGAGATGGAGAAGTACGTTCTTCCTCTGCAGCAGGTCATTCTTACTCGCCTGTTCCAGCAGCTCTCCCAGGTCTACGAGTCCGTCGAGCTTAAGTTCGTTTACGAACTCGCCCAGTTCCCCGATCCCTTCCAGATTACCCCCGCCATGATCGAGAAGTTCATCATGAACGGTTGCAAGAAGGGTGACCTCGCTATCCGTGTGGACCACATCTCTGGTGTCCTCACCTTCGATTCGGATGTCTTCTCTTCGTCCAAGGCTATGCACGCCGGCAGCTCCGCTGGCTCCGCCGAGAGCGAGTTTGGCTCCGTCCAGCGTCTCCAGCACACCCCGGCCGAGATTGCTCGCTTCCAACTCTCCCGCCTGGCTAAGACCCTTCACGTCACTTGCATGTACGTTGATCCCTCTTACAACGAGGCTCGTGCCCAGGCCAAGCAAATTGCCCAGGCTCGCGCCCTGGCTGGTGCCGCCCAGGAACACGAAGAGACTCTGGCTCGCCGTGTCATTATCGACAAGAAGAAGGAGGCTGCCACCGACGCCCTGCAGAAGAAGCAGCGCGAGGAGGAGAACCGCAAGCGCATCCGCACCCAGCAACTGCAGGAGGCTGAGAAGCTGCGTCTGGCTAACGAGCAGAAGGACCGTGAGGCCAAGCGTATCAAGGACGAGCAGGAGCGTATCCGCCAGGAGGAGCTCAAGAAGCAGCTTGAGGAGCTCAAGACTGGTGTCAAGGGTATCGATATTAGCGAGTTCGATATGGACGAGCTCGATGCCAACCGTCTGCGTGCCATTAAGCTGGCTCAGCTCGAGAAGGAGAAGAACGAGCTCAACGACCGTGTTCGTACCACTGCCAAGCGTATCGATCACTTGGAGCGTGCCTTCCGTCGTGAGGAGCTCAAGCACATCCCCACCGACTACGAAAACCAGAAGAAGCAAGATCTTGCCCTCTACGAGGAGCAGACCCAGGAGACTCTCAAGGAGGCCAAGCAGAAGCACGCCGAGGCTGTTGCCCTCAAGCACCGTCTGGGACGTCTCGTTCCCCAGTTCAGCAGCTTCCGCAAGGATCTGTCCGAGAAGCGCCACGAGGAGTTCGAGAAGCGCCGCAAGGTCGCCGAGCGCGAGTTCGAGGCCAAGAAGAAGCAGCGCGTCAAGGAGGTCCAGGAACGCCGCCGTCGCGAGAAGCAGGAGCGCGAGGAGGAGGAGCAGCGCCGCGCGGAGGAGGAAGAGCGTGCCCAACGCGAGGAGGAGGAGCGTACTGCCCGAGAGGAGGAGCGCCGTCGTGTTCTTATCGAGGAGAAGGCCAAGCGCGACGAGGAGAGATCGTTAGTCTTCCCACCACCTTGTTCATTCCCTCCTTCTATCTGTATACTGACATTTTATTCACAGCAAAATGGACGAAATGGCCACCCGCCAGGCCCAACGCGAACAAGAAGCCGAGGAACGCCGCGCCGCCCGCAGGGGCGGTGCTCCCGAGCCCGAACGCAGCAGTGGTGCTCCCCGACTCAACCTGGCCCGCCCTGGTGGCGGTGCTGGTGGTGGCTGGAGAGACCGTCTTGCCAACCGGGAGCCCGCTGGGGATGCCCCAGCCCCGGCCGCCGATCCCGCGCGGGAAGAGGCTCCTCGCCGTGGTGGATATCTGCCTCCTCACCTGCGCAATGCTGGTGGTGGCTCTGGCTCCGCCCCTCCTCCCCGTGACAGCGGAGCTTCTAGTGACCGCTGGGCCCGCCGCGAGCCCGCTCCTCGTGAACCTACTCGTGAGCCCGCTCGTGAGCCTACTCCCCGCGCGCCCGCGCCCTCTGCCCCTGCTGAGGAGAAGCCCAGCAGCGGAGCTGGTGGTAAGTGGGTGCCGCGCTGGAAGCAGCAGCAAAACTAAATGTGTGCATGAGTGGATTCGGACATTCTCTTCTTTTTATCTCTAGGGAGCGAACCAAAAAGTAACTCGGATACTTTCCTTTTCTTCCTATCTGGCGCATGTTATCATGACCTCTCTGCAATGACCCTGTATCATCGGCTTCCTAATGGGCGCCCCTGTGGTCCGTCGTTTTCTCTTTGCGTGCTCATGTCTTTTTCTAATTTCCTTGTCTCCTCTTCGGTTGGGTTATTTTGCCAGCCGTGATGCCAATATCATGCACTGCTCATTGCTTTGGATTCCGGATTTCGCCGGGGTCCAGTGAATAGGATCATTTCTAGACTCATTACATGTTGGACTGAACTTTTCTCTATAGAGTGCTTCGCGGGACCTTCGCGCAAGACGGTATGGCATCACAATTATGGTCAACATATGTAAAAGAATTGCCCAGACATCAACACAAGTGGTTGTAACTGAAAAAGTCGGTAAATATTCTGTATTAAAGTATCCTATATGGTACTGTAATTTCTCAGGCCTTTCCCAAAATTACATTCTGCCACCAAAGGTCCGTGATTTTTTCGATATCCTTTTGAGTTTTCTGTTTTTTTTTGTCATACTTGAGAGCTGCTCTCACCGTCCGTATGATTACGACGTATTATTACCCATTCGGAACACGTTTCTTTTCTACAAC